TGCTTGCCTACGAAGGACTCGATTCCACCGGCAGCCCGCCAGGCCCCCCATCCCACCCCCCCGACTCCCGGGTGACCCAAGGCGCTTCCCCCCGCGCAGTGCGCTCTGAAAGCAGCTGGGCGCCCCCCACCCAGGAAAGGGGGGACGGCTGAAGGAGGGCAGTCGGCCCGCCCAGAGAGGAGATTCCTTCGTTTTCCTGCTCAACTGGAAAGGGCCTGTTCACAAACTTAATACAAAGGCCAGGGCAACCTTCCTAAACCCAGGAGGTTCTCACCTTGCCGACCTTCAGAATCCCCTGAAATCTTTCTAAAAATCCTGATTTCTGGGCCTCATTCTCCAGAAATTCTGTTTCTTTGTTTATGGGGTGAGGCCACCAACATTAGTAACAGAGAAACAGAATTTCCGGAGGATGAGGCCCAGAAATCAGGATTTTAAAAAGATTCCCAGGTGATTCTAATGTGCAGCCAAGGCTGAGAACCACTGTCCTAACCGGTGCGGTGCCGGGAGGGCGGGCCGGGATGGGTCACTCCCCGCCGTGGGCACCGCCAGCCGCCAGCACTGGCCTGCCCCGCGGCGGAGGGTAGTGAGCCCGTTTCTCAGACGGGAACCGAGCCCAGCAGGTTCCGCCAGGTCACACGAAACCTGGAAACCGCACCGGGATTCACAGCCAAGTCCTGCGGCTGCGGGCCCCGCGCAGAGGCCGCGCTCCGAGGGGAAGGCCGGGCGCCCCGCGAGCACCCACTCCAGCCCGCCCCGCTCCCCGGGTCCCCGCCCCGCTCCCGGGGACCCCGCCCTGCCCTGGCGGCGACCAAACGCGCCAACCTGGAGGGGCAGAGGCCGGGGACACAGGGGCATCCACGCGGGCCTCGCTGGCGACGGGAGCCGCCCCTGCGGCCCCAGAGCTGCCGGCCGGCCGGGTCTCCGCCAGCGGCCAGGCAGAGCCAGTCCCGACGGCGCGCTGCTCCCGCCTCCCGGGCTCGTGCCTCCTTCTCGGCTTCCGGGGCGGGCTCGGCAGGCGGATTCGGGTGGTCGTGGGGCCCGCCCCCGGCCCGCACGCACCTCCGTCCCCGGCAGCCGCAGCTCCCCGCACTTCCGGTTCCCCGCCGCCCGCGCGGAAGCCCGGGCGCGCCCCCTGCAGGCAGCTCGCGGTGTCCGCGCCCCCGGCCGGCGGGTGCGTGAAGCCGACCCCGCTGTCCTGGGTCCTGACAGTCCTTCCCTGCCCAAACCCAATCCGGCTCCTCTGAACTCTTCTCCGCTAGGCCCCGACTTGGGGCTTCTGTGTTCATCTCCATTGTCCGGTTTTAGCAAGAATCCTGCGAAGTTGGTTTAGCCAGAGGCCCCTACCCTCGATATCTGATCACCAGGGCCTAGAGACTCTGATGAGGTTCCTGATCCTCCACGACCCGCCCCCCGGGTGGTGTCTGATCACCCAGATTGCCTTGGGCAAGAATCCTGTTGGTCAGTTTAGGTCGGTTGAGCCAGAATCCACCCTTACCTCCTCCTAGTAACTTCCCATCCGCTGACCCCCAACCTGCTCCTTGGCTATAAATTCCCACTTTTCCCTATAGCATTGGGAGTTGAGCCCAATCTTTCCCCCACTACAGAACCCCACTGTAGTAGCCCCCTTTGAAAAGTTTGCCTTACTGTTCCTTAACAAGTGTCAATTTTTTTTGTTTAACAGAATATTTTAACAGTCCCCAAATGTGGCTCCATTTGAGTTTTGCTGGTTGGTCTTTGTTAAAGTGTGGATTCCCAAGCCCCCTGAATCAGAAATTAGGGGGAGGGAGAGAAATGTGATTTACCACAAATCAACTAGTCTATATATATAAAAGGCTAAGTGTCTGTCCAACCGGTAGCTATGATGCACACTAACCACCAGGGGGCAGACGCTCAACCCAGGAGCTGCCATGACACGCACTGGCCATTTACACAGAAACAGCACCACAGACCTGGCGCCGACAAACCAACACTCGGCTTCCTCCAAGTGGGACACAGGCCCCGCCACCACCCCGGAGTGACACCCCACCAAATCACAGCCAATGCTTCCAAGACCCCATGGCACTGAATGCAGCCCACAGCCCAGCCCAGCCTGGAAATGGTCGCTGTGGGCGCCGGGTAATGATGTCATGTAGCAACACCCGGCTTCCTCTCCCAGCTTCCTCTCCCTAGCGACTAGCCTCCTTGGAGTTTCTTCAGCCCAGGAACACGACTTGCTTTATAGCCAGGTGGAAACATTTCACACTTTAACCAAATGTCTGTGAAGCGTTTTCCTGTGCCTCATCTCATTTGATCCTCACAGAAGTCCTGGAGCAGGTAGGTAGGAGACTCCGTAGAATCCTATTTTCTTTTCATTAGCAAGATGCAAAGAGCGATATTAAAATATTTCTTCTAATTAATTTCCTTTCAATGTGCATGAATCCGTGCACCAGAACACTAGTAATAGAATAATACTCTCCATATACTAGAGATGCGCGATAGGGGAGCTTGATCCAAAGTTTGGAGACAGGACTCTGGAGCTAGGAGCACTCCCCTCCACCTGTGCTTTTCTCCAACGCACTTTCACCTCCTGAATATTCATTTCAATCCTGGGGAAGTAGGCTGGGAACATTTAAATCAATCAAGGCTTAAGGAGATAAATCAAGCCACAAGAACCACCTGTGGAGCATTGGCTAAACCTGGGCTCCGCCTCCCGCCTCTGGAGAGCATCCCACAGGGGCAGGGACTGCTTTTCCAGTTCCCAGGAAGGTGCGCCGAGAGCCACTGACCTCTCCCCTCTTCTGCTCTCACAAGCTGTGAGCTAGGACAAACCCAACTCTAATTGGTGGAGACGCCTTGTTTTGTTTCGCTATTAGAACTCCTCCTTCCATATTTATCTCCTTAAAACCTCTTCCCATAGCCAGCTGAACAATGAGGTCTGAGGAGCAGGAAACCTGTGTGTCTGCACAAAAAGCTTCCTGTTTGAAAGGTGAGAAGCCCAAGTAGGGAGAAACCTGAGCTGGGGGATTGGATGCTTTGGAGTCAATTCCTGCAGTGTTTTGAATGCTGTGCTCAGGGAGCCCATGGCCTGGCAGCAGGAGTGGGCAGGTCCCAGAAACGGAGGGAAATGCACCTAGACGGCTCTCACCAGAGTTAGGCCCTACACCTGCGTCAGGCATGCAGCCTCGGGGGTCGAGGTGGGACTAGCTTGATGGTTTCTTCTAGCTGCCTGCCCCCAAGATAATGGAAGAGTCTTGCTGGGGTCTTGGGTAGATGCTGAGCAGGTATTGTGAAGGGAAGGGAAGTCTACCTTTGAATCCTGGAGGGGAGTGGGTAGGATAACGAGCACCACCAGGATGAGACAATCAGGCTAATGAGCACTCAGGATGGAGTGACGTCGGGAGAAACAGGCCAGGAGGGGGCAGGGTTGCCCGCAGCACATAGTACTGTATTTACTAATTTCTACAGGTCAGAGGTTAGTGGTGTTTGGGTTCTGTTGTTAGGCAAGGTTGTGGTCTGGTTTTGGTGGAACCCTCTACCATCCCTCCTGGTGAGGCCTCAAGCTCAAAGCAAAGAGGGAGGTGGGTGTCCAGCCCACAGAAAGGAAATGAGAGAAGAGACAACTTTTAAGTGTCCCTTGTTTCTCCAAAATCCTTAAAAATGCTTCAGCGAGCTGTGGAGTCCGTATTGAGAAGGGAGAATAGGTAATAAGACAGAAAAACGTTTGAAGAAAAGTTAAACAATGCACTCTCACTCAAATGAAACACGACTTTTTGAATGACCTAAAGCAAGCATGTCAAACTCAAAGGCTAACATGGACCAAATAAATGAGGCATGCGGCCCTCGGGCCGAGAGTTTGACATGCTTGACCTGAAGAATCACTGTGGGAGATAAATAAGATTGCTGTTTCAATGCAGAAGATGGGAAAAATTACACATGGAAAAGTTTTGGTTTTCTTCATTTGAAGGAAGGATTACCAGGATAGAAATCGATAAAAATGTGTAACTACTTATTACCAAGTCTCTGGTGTTTTCTCAGAATTGGGCCACATACCTCCCTACTTTCCCCCAAACTCCCAGCAGAATGGAGCCAAGGCTTTCATACCAATTTACTCATGGTTTTCCAAAAGCAGGAAACTGGGAGTACCCCTACTCCAGACCAGCACCCCATGACTGGGCTGGAGCCAAAAGAGGCTCTATAGCAGGGGTCCTCAAACTACGGCCCGCAGGCCACATGCAAATACAAATATTGTATTTGTTCCCGTTTTGTTTTTTTACTTCAAAATAAGATATGTGCAGTGTGCATATGCATAGGAATTTGTTCATAGTTTTTTTTAAAACTATAGTCCGGCCCTCCAACGGTCTGAGGGACAGTGAACTGGCTCCCTGTTTAAAAAGTTTGAGGACCCCTGCTCTATAGTGACCACTCCTAGCAGCTTGGCAACATGGTTGCCCGTCAAGAAATCCCACCACAAGGCTGATCAGCTGACCGTGCCTCCCTGCCTCAGATAGAAATGGAAGTGGGAGAAGGGAGCCCTTCTCTCGTTCTTCCTCACCCTGTGAGAACACTGGACTCTTCAAGGTCCCACCCTTGAGCAGGGAGCAGAAGGCAGGACAAAGGCAGGGCTGTGGACACAGTGGGGATGAACTTGGCCAACTTGATCCAGTCCTTTCGCCACTCGCCAGCAGAGGGCGCCGGCGGCTGGCTCCAGTCAACCTCAAGGATGTGAAGCTAAATGAGGACTAATGACAGGTGCTGGGAAACCGCAGCCACCAGGTGGAGGGCAGCCAGGAGCAGAAGCCTCAGACTCTGCTGTTGTCCATAGAAGCTTCTATAACAGAAGCCGCCAACTCTCAGGGAGACAGGAATGCTGTGGCTTCCTTATCTGTGGTCCAAAGAAATAGGAACAGCACAAACCTTAGCTAGTGGAACGGAAGAGAGGACATCTTCCTACAGCAAAGCAACAAGCAAACATCGCACAGGCTCAGCTCCACAGCCGGGAGGCGGAGCTGGGGTGGGAGACCTGTTGCGGGGCAAAGGTGAAGGGAGGCGCCCTGCTGCACACACACTCCAGAAACGGACACCAGGTAACCCAAGAGCATTCTTTTTTAAAAAAAGAAGAAACTGAGCAAATGTATACAAAATACTGTCAATCTCTCCTGGGCCAACAGGGCTGCCATCACAATGCTTCACCTGCAGTGTCTGAATGCCTGAGCTTGCTCCCGCCGTCTGGGTGCTTCTGGCCCCGCCCGGCAAGCCGGTCTCCGGGCACACGCGCCACTCTTCCAGGCGGCTCCTGCTCCAGTCACCAGGCTGCACAGCGTCCGTCCGTCCGAGCCCCCAAACAGCCTTTCCCTGAAGATTCCCCGCCCTGGCAGGGAGCCGGAAATGGAGCGTCCCGTCTTCCTGTCTGTCTCCCCTCCCCCGGGGATGATACGACTTCCGTGGAAGTTCTTCGGGCAGGTGCCCTCAGGCTTTATGGGCCAGGAGGGTGGTCAGCTTGATCTTGCCATCCATGGAGGCAGTGAGGCAGGTCCCGCAGTCCATCGCCGTGCTCCAGTCCACGGTCACCACGGGGGCTCGGTGGCCACCCAGGCTCAAGCAGCTCTCCAAAACCTTCTCGTCCCCGCCCAGCTGTAAGAGGACAGGAGAGAGGAGGAGGTGTGAGCGGACGCCGTGCACAAATACATCCATGTTCTCCACCAACCACCTCGAGCCTGGGGCTGCCGCGCCCATCCTTCCTGTTTAATTTCTTAGACAAGAAAATACCTTCATTGTTCTGACTACAGTTATTCCTTCATCTGAAGTGAAAAACAAGTCCCACTCGAAAAGGCAGGGAATTTTCTCTGCTGCCTTTAACTTGCTGGGGGCCAGTGCCCCTGCACCGCCCGGGCCGCTCTCTCCCAGCATCATCCCCACTCCCAGACATTCTTTGTTTCATGTCTGCTCCCCCAGGAATCCCAGCTGCAGGAGGGTGGGTCGTGGTCAGCTCCTGCAGTACCCGGTCGAGCTGGCACCAGCAGGCCCTCATCAATGTACAAGCTCGGCTCCCC